AAGGAAATGATTGGAAGAGAAGGGAATGGAAGGGATGGAAGGGAATGGAAGGGAATGGAAGGGATGGAAGGGATGGAAGGGATGGAAGGGATGGAAGGGAATGGAAGGGATGGAAATGGATGCAAAATAGATTGAAATGATCTTTTATAAGTTGTAATGGTACTAGTTTGTCACTTAACAAGTCAATCTTTGTACTTTGTGCTCAAAAAGAACCCCTTCTGGCGCAATGAACTCAAGGCTGTGTGCCAGAAAGGCGTTTACGGAGCACAAAGTAGGCCCACAAAGTACTGAACCACACTTCATTTCAAGGGATTCCTTTCAAAATGGGTAACTGAACAAGGCTGGGTAACTAAACCAGGAATTGGGTAGCTCAATCGTGCTCAAATTAAGTCAAAACTGCGATCTGGAAAGCACAGAACATTTTTGGTTAATAAAATCTTGAATTCGAGAACTTTCGGGTTATTGAAGTTGGGTAACTGAACAAGGCTGGGTAACTAAACCAGGAATTGGATAGCTCAATCGTGCTCAAATTAAGTCAAAACTGGGATCTGGATAGCACAGAACATTTTTGGTTAATAAAATCTTAAATTCGAGAACTTTTTGGATTATTGAAGTTTGGAGACTAAACCGTTGGGTAACTAAACCAGGAATTGGATAGCTCAATCGTGCTCAAATTAAGTCAAAACTGGGATCTGGATAGCACAGAACATTTTTGGTTAATAAAATCTTGAATTCGAGAACTTTTTGGATTATTGAAGTTGGGTAACTGAACAAGGCTGGGTAACTAAACCAGGAATTGGGTAGCTCAATCGTGCCCAAATTAAGTCAAAACTGGGATCTGGAAAGCACAGAACATTTTAAATCAATAAAATCTTGAATTCAGGAACTTTTTTGCGTGACCGAGTGGTTAGTGGGCTTGGCGCCAACCGCCAACGCTTGGCCAGGCCAACCACCCGGGTTCCAGTTCCACATCGGAAACTTGCCTAAGCCTAAGCTTTAAAAGGACTTGTTTTACAAGGGAATCCCAACCGGGTACGCTAGGCAAATGTCCAATTTGATCCAAAGCTTTCTAGCTTTCTAGCTTCTAGCTTTCTAGTCCCCAATCCAAATCAATTCTCCCTTCAAATCCCATTCAAATTTCCATCGAGTGATCAAAAACCCAAGCCAGACTAGAAGCAATAAATGGGTAGACACGAAAACATGAACCTGTACAAATAATGAAAAAAAAAAGACAAATTTGAAACTTTTTGGCAACAGACTTAAATTGATCGGCGGCACAGACCGGCTCGGGGAAAAAAGAATGAAGAAAAATGGCTGAGAGATGAGAAAAGAAGTCGAGAGCGGAAAAGAGAGAGAGCGGAAATTTCGAGAGAAAAACTTTGCGTCGAAAAAAAGAGCTGAAAAATCAATGGAGAGGGGTGGTGTCTGTCTCCGTCCTCTTCGTCCTCTCCGTCCTCTCCATCCTCTCCATCCTCTCCATCCAGGGTCCAGCCCGGGCCTCCCTCGTGCCCGGCCCTGGACCCTGGCCGGGTCCTTCTCCAAGGCCCTTTTCCGGGATCCTTCTCCCTTCAAGATCCAGACTGAGAGACTAAAAATGACTGAACCCTTAGACTCCTGGACCCTCTCCAGCTCTTTCACAGCTCTTCCCAGCTCCTCCCAGCTCTTCTACCCTCCACCCTCCCATTCCATTTCAATTTCTTGGTCTTGCACGTCTTTTTCTTGCCCTTTTCCTTGCTCTTTCCTTCTTCTTCCTTCTTCCTTCCTTCCTTTCCTTTTCCCTTTCCCAGTGTCTTTACCCTTCTTCTTGAACCTCCATTCTTTTTGGACCTCCGTTCTCTACTCCTTTTTGGCTTAAGCCTTGAAAGCTGGCAACTGGTTGAGCACTGATCTCTTGTTCACTTCAAAATTTGGCTTAGATAAGTTAAAGGGAAACTAGATAAAAGTTCAGCAAAGTATAGAATGACTATCGTAACTCTATTTTGATAGAATTGAATACGAATCTGAGATGACTCAATTTAGAGTTGATATTGTTGAATTTAGAGTTGAGATGGTTGAATTTAGAGTAGATAAGGTTGAGCTCAGATCTGTTAGAGTTGATGTGGTTGAATTTAGAGTTGATATGGTTGAGCTCAGATCTGTTTGAGTTGATATAGCTGACTTTAGAGTTGATATAGCTGACTTTAGAGTTGATATAGCTGACTTTAGAGTAGATAAGGTTGAGCTCAGATCTGTTTGAGTTGATGTGGTTGAATTTAGAGTTGATATAGCTGACTTTAGAGTTGATATGGTTGAATTTGGATCTGATATGGTTGAGCTCAGATCTGTTATGATTGAATGCGGCTAACGCGATTAATTTTATCGTAATCTAAGCCGTTTATATTGTGGTTCTAATTGTACCCCAATGCACATCGGCGCGAAAATGCGTTTTCTATCGGATTTTTCCGGGAGTACCATTTTTAGATGCGGAAAATTGTGCTGATTCCGAATCTGAAGGAATTTTTCAAATCCCCTTGACAGAAATTTTTAAAATTGAGTTTTATCGGTTTTTTGGTCATTTTGTACGGGAAATTTTGTGGTACTCTGCAGTTTGGGGCTCGTAACTCGACAATCAGGGTCTAGAACCAAAAAACGAGGGGATAATTTTTATTCTAGAGACTCTCACGAACATTTTGATACAAAAATCATCAAATTTGCTCAACTCTACAAAAAGTTATAACATTTTAAAATTACAGTAGCCAAGCTTCAGAAAACCAGTCTGAGTCAATGCCGGGATGAGATTCTAGGATTTTTTTTTTGATCTGTCTTCGCACTCAGGTGTTCCTATTTGCGCAGATCACAACCTGCTTCCACATTTCTCTATCCCTTGCTATTGTCATCCAGTGTTTCCTAGCTTGATTGTTCCTGGTTCGAAGTCTTCGACTTGCTGGTGCTGGTGGTGGTTGCAGTCTAGCCATCCTTTCTCTGACCGTCTCTGCCACTCTTGTGCTCCACCTCGTTGCTGGTCTTCCGACTGGCCTCTTCTGGTCTCGTGGTAGCCACTCTATGATCCGTATCGTCCATCTGTCGTCTGTTCTTCTGGCTACGTGACCGGCCCATCTGAGTCTTTTTCTCTCAATCACTTCCACTGGATCTCTGAGTCCCGAGAGCTGGCGCATGTCCGTACTTCTTAGGTCCTGGTCGAGCTGCGTCTTCCTATTGTACCCGAGGAGGTTCCTTTCAAGGGCTCGATGCGTCGTTCTCAGGGCTCGTTCAGTGGTCTGTGTCGTGGCCCAGATCCTAGGATGAAATGTTGGAATCAAATGCTGGAATCAAATGCTGGAATCAAATGCTGGAATCAAATGCTAGGATGAAATGCTGGAATGAAATGCCAGGATGAAATTCTAGGATGAAATCCTAGGATGAAATGTAATCCCAAGCTTCGGTAAGGCTTAAAGGCTAAGGGCTTTCTTAAAGGCTAACTTAAACGCTTCAAGGAAGATAATACAGAAGTGAATGCCATTATCTTTAGTGAATGCCAATGAATCATCTTTAGTGACGAGTGGAAATTCAATATTTTCAACGAGAATGATTCTTTTTTTTGATCAAAGGACCGATTGGAGCTCGAGATTGACGAAAATAAACTAGATCAATGGCTATGAGACTTATGAAGCTCGATATTGACTCAAATATATCAGACCAATGGTTCTTGTGTGATCAAATGATCAACTGGAGCTCGATATTGACTCAAATATATCACACCAACAGTCAGGTTGCTGGAGAGGCTCAGATCCAGCATTCGAAGCACCGCACGTCCTTTTTGCCGTTTCCTTTGATCTCCACTTTCTTTCATTTCTTCGAATTCTCTTTTTGGAGTCAAATATTCAGCTCCTTTTTTCCATTTTCTCTCACAATCAGTTTAATTAAAGTCTTTTTCCACATTTTTTCCTTTTCAGAATCTTCCCTGGAAAAGTTTCCCTTTGCTTTTAAAGAAACGTTTATCTATCAAAGTTTAACTGGCTTTGATTTAAGCTTTATTGTTACTGAAGGATTACTGTAGCTCTACTGAATGGTTACTGTAGCTGTACTGATTACTGTGGTTACTGTCACTGAACTAAATGATTACTGCAGTTACTGTAGCTGTGCTGGAGGATTACTGTAGCTGTAAAGCTGCAAGATTAACCATCGGTAAACTTCAGCCTTTAAGTCAAGTATTTTTAAAGCCAGCTAAAGTCTACAGTATCCCAATAAAGTAGCCAGCTTAGCCAGCCAGCCTAGCCAGCCAGCATAGCCAGCCAGCCTAGCCAGCCAGCATAGCCAGCCAGCCTAGCCAGCCAGCATAGCCAGCCAGCCTAGCCAGCCAGCTTAGCCAGCCAGCCAGCTTAGCCAGCCAGCCAGCTCAGCCAGCCAGCTCAGCCAGCCAGCTCAGCCAGCCAGCTCAGCCAGCCAGCTCAGCCAGCTTGAATCTCTTTAGCTTTAGAAAACTTGAAAGCTATTCCCACTCAGCTATCGAAAGCCATTCAATTTATTCATACTGTACCTGAGAACTGAACTAGAGGTACAGTAATCCAAGAGACTTGAGCCTGAGCCTATGCCTAAGCCTAAGGCTAAGCCTAGGCCTAAGCCTAGGCCTGAGCCTGAGCCTATGCCTAAGCCTAAGGCTAAGCCTAGGCCTAAGCCTAGGCCTGAGCCTGAGCCTATGCCTAAGCCTAAGCCTAAGCCTAAGCCTAAGCCTTAGCCTTAGCCTTAGCCTTAGCCTTAGCCTGAGCCTGAGCCTGAGCCTGAGCCTAAGCCTAAGCCTAAGCCTAAGCCTAAGCCTAAGCCTAAGACTAAGCCTAAGCTATAAGCCTATGCCTAAGCCTGAGCCAAGAGACTTCGATTCCTGTACTTCTAAGGCTTACTGTACTTTAACCAACCATAACTTTGGCTATTTTTCTATAACATGGCTGTATTGGTACTTGAATAACCTACAGTAATCTGTTTTAGAATGTGATTCCATATTTAAAACATTTTAAAGCCCAAACCTTCCCGACTGTGAGCGAACGACGAGCAAATTTGGGTTATAAGTGTTGTGACGATTGAAGCGACGAGCGAACTGGAAAATTTGATTTCAAATTTGTTGATTTCAAGATGAAAACATATCTATATCGATCTATATCGATTGAAGCTCTAGATTTAGATTCTTTATCTACTTTTAAAAACACAAGAAGTACTTCTAAATACCTGTGACGTTCCACCGAAAGAAACAGCGCGACGATCGTGCGTCGGCTGATTGAAAAACTCTTCCTCGCTATTGTTCGAGTCTGAAAACTTTCCTGTGTACTTTGTGCTGTAAATGTGCACTTCCTGGCACACTCTATTAGAAAACAATGTTGGCTTTTCACCAAAGAAACTTCTCCACTTCTCCGCCAGAAAGTCTGCGTTTATGAGAAGAAAAAAAGTAGGCTTCTCGCTTCAATTCGAATACTTTGTGCTTTCTCATAAACGCACGCTTCCTAGTGCAAGAGTTCACGCAACAGAAAGCGAATGTTTCCAAAGAAAACAAACCAAATGAGTCCTGTTGATTGAGTGTGAGTGTATTGTGTCGAGATCGGGGTTGAAGTTCGCTTGTCGGCTTCGGCACATAGTTTAAAGCATCATCCGGCATCGGTGCATCCCATGTGAAATCGACTAAAATTTCAGTAGGTTTGTAACACTGTAATAGATTTATAAATGATACTTGTCGGTTTTTTAAAGAAGCAAAAGGGATTTGGTCATGGGAGGATTCGAACCTGACCTCCCCCCTCGCCACCCGCTCCGCAACCCAGCTCACTACCCACTAGGCCACCACTGCTGTTTGTCCAGGCGTGTTTGGCACGGCTTTATTGGCTAGGAAGCGATCTATTGGCGATTTTTCGAGTGATTTTCTTTATAAGGCTTCCAAGGCACCAAGCTAGGATCGCGTTGTGGTGTAATGGATAGCGAGTTGGGATACAGGGCAGTTGCTTGAGGGTTCGAGTCCGGTGACTGTTTTTTGTTTTGTTTTTTCTTCTGGAGTTAAGAATTAATTAATAGGATAATTACAGCATACTACAGCATAATGTAGCTAAGACAGGAACTTCTGTACTGGAGTTACAGTATGCTGTAGCTGTACTGTAGCTTGGGATTTACTGTGGCTCAGTCTCAGGTTCAGGCTTAATCTCAGGCTCAGGTTTAGGCTCAATCTCAGGCTCAGGCTCAGGTTCAGGCTCAGGTTCAGGCTCAGGTTAAGGCTCAAGTTCAGGCTCAAGTTCAGGCTCAAGTTCAGGCTCAAGTTCAGGCTCAATCTCAGAACTTGCTATTCCTTTAAAATCAACTACAACACCCCATAGAAAGAATGAAGAATGCAGTGCACCAGAAAGGCTACGTTTCCAAGCACAAAGTCCATTTGAACAAACCTTCTTTTAGCGTTTGTTGCATCACCAACTGTCCAGGCTTCACCGTCTCCAACATTTGCAGATCGGGGCTCTGATTTTGAGTCTAGAAATTCAAAAATACTCAAATATAGATCTATTTCATAAATATAACCAATTCTGGGCAATTCCTGGGCAATTTCTGGACAATGCATCCATTTCACAGAAACGTTGTTTATTTGATCACTCAAATCCACCCACTTTTCTATTAATTTCAGGGATTTCACCGATTTCACGTGTTTTTCTTTCAGTGCCATCCTCGGTGTCAGCTCAGCTTTTTTTTCAAGGCTTTTTTTATAGAAAACAATTGGATAAGGTTTTTCGTTAGTAATTCTCGAAAACTATTCTCAAAAACTATCGAAATCAGTTCAGTAAATGACTCTCTTTCCGCTCAATTTTGATAATTTTGATAAAGTTTCGTCCGGACGATGGATTGTGACTCATTTTGAGAGGGAAACGGGCAAATAGGTGAAGAGAAATGGAGAATAGATGGATAGAAATGGATAGAAATGGATAGAAATGGAAAATAGATGAATAGATTGGATAATAGATGGATAGAAATGGATAGAAATGGATAGAAATGGATAGAAATGGATAGAAATGGATAGAAATGGATAGAAATGGAAAATAGATGGATAGATTGGATAATAGATGAATAGATTGGATAATAGATGGATAGAAATGGATAGAAATGGATAGAAATGGATAGAAATGGATAGAAATGGATAGAAATGGATAGAAATGGATAGAAATCGAAGATAGATGGATAGAAATGGAAAATAGATGAATAGATTGGATAATAGATGGTTAGATTGAATAATGACTGAATAGATTGGATAATAGGTGGTCAGATTGGATTATTTTAGATCTAAATTAGATTCAGAAACGAGTAATAGAGATTTTCTGTAGCTAAAGTAGTCTAAGAAGTAGTGTAAGATGTGGAAAGGTAGTTTAACTTGAAGAAAAGAGATGGTAACGTAATCGTGACCGTACGGCGAATCCGTTACTGTACGGCGAATCCGTTACTGTACGGCAAATCTGTTACTGTACGGCAAACCCGTTATAGTACGGCAAATCCGTTACAGTACGGGAAATCCGTTACAGTACGGCATACCGTATCCGTATGGCAAACCCGTTACTGTACGGCAAATCTGTTACTGTACGGCAAACCCGTTATATCAGGTTGGCAACTAAATAATGGCCCTTTTCAGTAAAAACAAAAAATTTATTAACAAGATGAACAAATATCAACATCAATCCAAAAGGTATTCTCCGTCATTCTTTATTACTTCTTTCCACTTCTGACGGAGCAACTGGATTCCTCTCTTGAAAAATTCTTCTGGTTGATCGTCAAAGAACTTCTGCACTGAAATTCGGACTTCGTCAAGGTCATTGAACTTTTTCTCGGCTAGAAAGTGTTGCATCGATCGAAAAAGATGGTAATCACTAGGCCCCATATCCGGGCTGTATGGCGCATGAGGAAGAACATTCCAGCCCAACTCCTCGATTTTCTCCATTGTAAGTTTTGCAGTGTGTGGTTTTGCGTTATCATGGAGAAAATGAATTGAAGAGGGTTCGAGTCCTTGAGAGCGAATTGCTTGATCTACACGATGTAGTTGAGACGAATAGAGTTCTGAATTAACCGTTTGCCGGCTTTTGAGAACCTCGAAATGCACCAACCCACGAGAACTCCACCACACACAGAGGAGAGTTTTCTTTGAGTGAATATCCGGCTTCGGAGTTGGTTTTGGGTCTTCGTTTGTGCTAAGCCACTGTCGTTTTCGCGTTCGATTATCATAAAAGATCCATTTTTCATCAGAAGTGACAATGGAATCCAAGAAGCTTCCCTTTTTCGCAAGTTTTAGTAGTATTCCAGCTGTGATAACACGAGTAGCCTTATTTTCTTCGCTCAATTCATGCGAAATCCACTTTCCACTGCGGTTACTTTTCCCCCAATGCATGAAGTCGCTTTTCGATTGCAGTATGCGAAAAGCCCAATCGACCCCCTAGCTCGCGTGATGTTTGACTTGGATCCTCCTTTAAAGCTGCTTCCAAAATATCGTTCTGCAGAAGTTCGGGTCGTCCTTGGCGAGGCTCATCTTCAAGACTTTCATCCCCTTCCTTGAACCGTCGATACCATCTCTTACATTGTGTTTCGGAAAGAGCTTCATCGCCAAAAACTCGCAATAAATCTCTGTGGGATTCGGCAGCTGTTTTGTCTTGTTTGTAGTCGTACCAGAGACAGACACGCATTCGATATTTGAGATCTTCCATTTCTAAACAAAATTATTTGAAAAGTATCAAATCAAGGAAAGTAAAAAACGTATAATAATGCACCAGAAATTCAGTAATATTCAATTAACAACAAGCGAGGGTAGATTAAACGCAAAGATTAAAAGATTTTATCAAAAAAGGGCGAGGGCCATTATTTAGTTGCCAACCTAATAGTACGGCAAATCCGTTACAGTACGGCAAATCCGTTACAGTACGGGAAATCCGTTCCTGTACGGCATACCGTATCCGTACGGCAAACCCGTTACTGTACGGCAAATCCGTTCCTGTACGGCATACCGTATCCGTACGGCAAACCCGTTACTGTACGGCAAATCTGTTACTGTACGGCAAACCCGTTATAGTACGGCAAACCCGTTACTGTACGGCAAATCTGTTACTGTACGGCAAACCCGTTATAGTACGGCAAACCCGTTACTGTACGGCAAATCCGTTCCTGTACGGCAATCCGTTAAAGTACAGCAAATCCGTTACAGCACGGCAAATCCGTTCCTGTACGGCAAATTCGTTACTGTACCGCGAATCCGTTACTGTATGGGAAATCTGTTACTGTACGGCGAATCCGTTACATTACAGCAAATCCGTTGCAGTACGGCGAATCCGTTACTGTACGGCAAATCCGTTACAGTACGGCAAATCCATTACTGTACGGTAACCTAATCGTTTCACGAAAACAGCCAGATTACGATACAGGCATCTTTTTGACTCTAGATGTCTTTTCAAGCTTCTATTTGTCTTCTCAGGTTTCTATTTACCTTATTCTAACATTCTAACATAGACAAGATACTAGTACAACTAGTTGTTCAGAGACGGTAACTGAACTTTAATCAGAGAGATTACTGTAAGGATTACTGTAAGGTCACTGTAAGGTTACTGTAGCTGTAAAGGTATTTCACCTGATAAGTGATCTGTGAATAGGCGCTCAAATGTCCTGGTGAGGTATCGTTTCGATATGGTGGTGTTGGTTGTCCACTCAATGTTTCGCGGTCATTTGCTGTCGGATACGGGTACGTGTCGTAGTCTTTGCTTTGATTCTGAATTTTAGAGCTTCGTAGAAAGATATTCAGCCTAGATTTTAGCTTAAATTTTAGCTTAGATCTTTAGCTTAGATAGCTTAGATTTTAGCTTAGGCTTAGGCTTAGATTTTAGTTTAGATCTTTAGCTTAGATCTTCAACTTAGCTTGGGATTTTCTACCTTAGACAAGCACTTTAAAGAGCTCTACCGTAATCAAATGAGTAAGAGCTACAGTAGCAGTTAGTACTGTAATCATAAGATCAAAAAATGCGTTACGGTAACTGGAGCAAGCTTTAGAGTTATTGTAAATGACGAGCCATTGATTTTAAATGTTCCCAATGTCTTTCCTTCTTTCTTTGCTTCTTCCTTTCCTTCTTCCTTTCCTTCTTCCTTTCTATCTTCCTTTCTTTCTTCTTCCCCTTGTCTCTCCTTCTTTCCTTCTTTCCCTCTTTCTTCCTTTCTTCTTCCCCTTGTCTCTCCTTCTTTCCCTCTTTCTTCCTTTCTTCCTTTCTTCTTCCCCTTATCTTCCTTTTCTCAAGATACTCAATAGCTCATTGGTTATAGCTAAAACAATCCGAAAAGAAAAAGTCGAGGGTTCAATCCCTTCCTCTACTTTTTCTTCACTTCTTTATCATCTATGAGATTTCTATACAATCTACAAGATCTACAGTACTTTATTAGACTATTATATTGCTATTATATTGCTGATTTCCCCCACAAACCTGTGCAACAGCGGCACTGCACCAAAGTGGTGACTCTTGTCCGCGTAACATCGTTTCTTTTTCACGTTTTTTTCCTTTGTTTCAGTGAGTTTTTCTGGAAATTGGATTGGAAATTGGAAAAATATGGCTTTGAATTGGGAAAAACTGTAGAATTCGAGCTATAGAGCTAAGAAAAGCGAGAAAAGCTAGAAAAAACTGTAGAATTCGAGTTATAGAGCTAAGAAAAGCGAGAAAAGCTAGAAAAAACTGTAGAATTCGAGCTATAGAGCTAAGAAAAGCGAGAAAAGCTATAGAGCTAAGTTATCTAAACAAAAATAAGTAAACAAGTTATCGAAAAAAGTGACAGTAACAAGTTTTACTCCCCCAAAGTTTTTCTGTATACTTTGAGCTTATAAACGCATCATTTATAGTCCATTCGCATCATTTCTAGCAGTCCAAAGCACTAGAAAGATTGCGTTTACAAGTAAGCACAAAATTGATTGGTCTGTTTTACAAAGCGATAAGGTGAGTGGAGGGGGTTGAACCCGACCGCAAGAACGGGCACTGGTTTTGCAATCTAGCGGACTATTCACTTGACCATCGCTGCTGTAATAGCTGCTGTATTAGCTGCTGTATTAGCTGCTGTAATAGCTGCTGTAATAGTCTTAAAGTCGTACTTATCTGTTTTTCAAAAAAGCAAAAAGTTCTTGGAAAAATGGCGCTGCCAGGAGTCGAACCCGACCCTAATCCCTTTGCACTAGCTTTGTAGCCCACCGCACTATCCACTAGGCCACCACTGCTGATTGGCCGAGGGTGTTTGGCACGGTCTTATTGGCTAGAAAGCAATTTTTCGAAAGGCGATTTTGATTGATTTTTCGATGGGTTTTTCTTTATAAGGTTTAGATGAGCCTCTCGGCCAAATGGCTGCGTGGTGTAGTGGATAGTAGATGAGGATACGGAGCAGGGGATCGACGGTTCGAATCCCTTCACTGATTTCTTTTGTTTTTTCTATTGGAATCATAATTCTGTGTATTTGGAGCTGTTCTAGGCCATTCTAGCCTAAGCCAATACACTAGAAAGATTGCGTTTACAAGTGAGCACAGAGTACAGGGCAAATTTCGAAGAATTTCTAAGAATTTCGAAGAAAATCAACTAATATTAAACAAAATCTGAGGCTAATCCGCGAGATCTTTGATTCAATAGGTCTTCCGGGAAAAAAAACGGGGATTTCCTTGGTTCGACGAGAAGAAAAGTATTATCAAACATCAAATCCATAGCTTTTTTCCCTCAAATTTCATAGATTTCCCTAGACTTTTGTCATCAAAAGTTCAAAAATCGAGTTATTTTTGAGGATTTGTTGGTTTTTTAATGAAAAAAGGCTAGAATTTGATAGTTTTTTATTGAAAAAAGCTAGGATTTGATAGTTTTTTATTGAAAAAAGCTAGAATTTGATAGTTTTTTACTGAAAAAAACTAGAATTTGATAGTTTTTTACTAAAAAAACCCTAGGATTTAACACTTTTTCCGAAAAAAAACAAAAATTGCTTGTGTTTCGATGCAAGAAAAGCCAAAAAAACGTGTGGATCAGAGGATTTTTGCGAATGAAATCGCAAAAATCTCCGTTTTAACAACAAAAACGACAAAGATTCGATCAGAATCCAGAAAGAAATGGGAAATTATTCAAAACAAAAAACATAACTAGAGGAAGTGCTAACGAAAATCTGCCAAATAACAAGGAAAGTGAGGCACAAAATCGCGAAATCTCAACAGGAATTGAAGAGGCTGCGATTGAACTGGGAAAATTGGGAAAAATGTGAAAGGTTTTCAATGCAATGCACGATCTGGATGTCACACAGTATGATAAGCATTAATTTACGGCACCATAGCAATATTTTTTGGGTGCTGTATAAGAGCTCTAAGCTACCCAGGTGTTCTTTGTGCTTTTCCGTAAACTCTCGGCTTCTAGCACAAAGCAATGAATGATCTGGATGTCACACAGTATGATAAGCATTAATTTACGGTATCCTAGCAATATTTTTTCGGGTACTGGATCAGAGCTCTAAGCTCCTCAGGTGTTCTTTGTGCTTTCCCGTAAACGCTCGCCTTCTAGCACGAAGCAATGCACCATCTGGATGTCACACAGCATGATAAGCATTAATTTACGGTATCCTAGCATATTTTTTCGGCTACTGGATCAGAGCTCAGAGGATCAGAGCTCTAACCTGTCAGAGATGTACTCTGTGCTCCAACGTAAACGCTCGCTTTTAGGTACACGGCTTGCCACCTGCCTCCCACTCAGTGCCTAGGTTGCGTAAATGCCGATTCTATGATTTCGAAAATCTAGTGTGACATCCAGATTGACCATTTTCGCCTTTAAACAACTAGATTGTCATAAAAGATATCGAGGAATCCCAGTGAAAGAATATGGTTTAATTACCCAAGTGCCCAAATTGCGTAAATGCCGATTCTATGATTTCAAAAATCTAGCGTGACATCCAGATTGACCATTTTCGCCTTTAAATAATCGGATTGTCGTACAAAGTACGGTTTAATTACCCAAAAAAACAAAAAAAGCTCTCTAGAATCTTCAAAATTGAACTAAAATAAGAGCAAGCCAAAGTCAAATGTACTTTATCGTACTTGTACTATAATATGTTATAGTTTTTGGTTCAAAAAACCAAAGTCCAAGCGTAAAAATGAAGGTTGCAAAACATTTAAAAAATAGGTCAAAAAGGGAGAAGACAAAAAAATTTGGAAGAGAAAAAGAAAGAAAAAGAAGAAAAAAGAAGAAAAACGAAGAAAATGGCTGAGAGAAACGTTTTTGAAATAAACACGTGAACTCTCCGTTTTGCGGGGAAAGAAGAGATTGGAAATAGTTGAGGAAAAGTTGATGGAGAAATGAAAAGAATATGGGAAAAGGAGAGAAATTCTCTGGTTCTTCGGTTCGCCGACATTGAAAACGAAGTAAACAACAAAAAAATTCTATGGTGAGGGAAAGAGAGGGGGAAAAGAAATGGAGAGAGAGAGAGAGAGAGAGAGTGAGTTAGAGAATGGACAAGTGGAGGGAGCTGGAGGAGCTCAGCTTAGGCTGAGCAAGAGTAAGAGTTGAGTAGAAGATTGTAGAGAAGAGTGAGAAATAGGTGAGAGTGACAAAAGAAAGAAGATGAATGGAGAAAATGATTGAGAAGAATGGTAGAGGTTGGATGGAATGAAGAGTGACTAAAGGAGAAGTGAAGAAGTTGAAGAGAAAAGAAAGAAAAGAGGCTGAGAAATGAGAAGGATGGAGATAGATTGAGGAAACTTTTAGTGAAAGCTTGAGAAAATATAGCAATGGAGAGATTGGTAGGGAGTAGAAGTCAGTGTACCGTAAATAAGTCAAGGTACCGTAAATTGGACTTCAACGTACGCTGTGACATCCAGATTGAGCAATATCGTTAAAATTTTGATACTTTTTACAAGGGAGTACAAAGGACACCGCTGGACGACGAGGGGCTACCTAGTACAGTACTAAAAAATCAATCAAGGTACGTAAATTGGACTTCAACGTATGCTGTGACATCCAGAATGAGCAATGGCTTTAAAATTTCGACACTTTTTACGGGGGAGGACAATGTACACCTCTGGACGGCGAGCGACTACCTAGTACAGTACTGAAAAATCAGTCAAGGTACGTAAATTGGACTTCAACGTATGCTGTGACATCCAGATTGAGCAATACCGTTAAAATTTTGGTACTTTTTACAAGGGAACACAAAGAACACCCTTGGACGGTGAAGGGCTACCTAGTCTAGCACTAAAAACTAAGTCCAGGTACGTCAATTGGACTCCAATGTACGTTGTGACATCCAGAATGAACAATTGCTTTGTAATTTTTGGCACTTTTCACAAGGGAGTACAGTGTACACCTCTGGACGACGAGGGACTACCTAGTACAGTACTTAAAAACTAAGTCAAGGTACGTAAATTGGACTCTAAAGTACGGTGTGACATCCAGAATGAAAAATAGCTTTAAAATTTTGGTACTTTTTACTCGTAACAGTCAGTTAAAATCTTGGAGGATGTTTTTGTGAGATTTTTCAGAGATTTTTGAGTATATAATTAAACCAAATTCGAAATTCATTTCAATGACTCAAATTCTTTTTACAAAACAAATTCCAGTAGTTCAGAAAGGGTGAAAAGGGGAGAAAAGTTGACGGCTAGAAGTCAGGGATTGACAAAGACAAAAGTTGGGATTGACAAAGACAAAAGTTGGCGGAAGTCAGGGATTGACAAAGAAGGCCGATGACAAGGGAAGAGCTATGGTACAGTACTTTTTTCTACGGTCACTCTGTAACCAGATAGATAAGCCATCGATAGATAAAGTCAAAAAAGAAGAGTTTCGATAGAAGAGTAGAAGCGTTTCGATTTGTTGAGTTTAGATAGAAAAATAGTTATCTAAGGAGCTGTGAGTCAGGAAACGATGGATGGAAATAGAGAAAACGAGAGAGGAAAGCACTTTTGATTGAGTCGTTTTTGTGTTATTTTCTTGTTCTTTTCGAATTCGAGAGGGAAAAGATGAAAAAGACGAAAAAAGGCAAAAAAAAGACGAAAAAGACGAAAAACGACAAATCAAAGGAATCAAATCTCGAGAAATGAAAAGAATTTCGTGGAAATCAAAGCGATCAGTCAGATTTGTTTCAAAAGTTTTCCAAATTTGACTCAAATCGATCTCAAAGTGGTTTTTGGGGAAACTAGAGGACTACGCAAGATTGATCATTGCTTTAAATTGAATAATTTGGGATTACGATAGGGTTACGATAGGGTTTGTCAACATTCCTTAAAGCCAATCAGCCAGCCAACCAGCCAGTCAACCAGCCAACCAGCCAGCCAGCCAACCAGCCAGTCAAGCAGCCAGCCAGTCAACCAGCCAACCCGCCAGCCAGCCAACCAGCCAACCAGCCAACCAGCCAGTCAACCAGCCAACCAGCCAGCCAACCAGCCAGCTAACCAACCAGCCAGCCAACCAGCCAGCCAGCCAGCCAACCAGCCAGTCAACCAGCCTACCAGCCAGCCAGCCAGCCAGCCAGCCAACCA